TTATGGCAGGAAAAAGCATTATATATGCGGCTCGTTTTTGCCTGTTGCTGCTGCCTGGCTTACCTAATCGGCTTAAAAGAACAATTTTTCAAAAGTAACCCCCCCAAAAGACTGGAGCTGTGAACTGGGACAACGGCTCGAAACTGGTCAAGACGAAGCAAAGCCAAAGCCAAAGCCATAGCCAACGCCAACGCTGGCCGAGCTCTACAGGTTTTTCAGGTCGCTTCAGGTGAAAGCAGGAGAGAAGAAGGAACTTCAAGATGATAGGGCGGGAGGAATATGTGGGCAAGGGTTCTTCAGTAGAACTCACCTGATTCTCGTGGGGCACCCAGACCAGGCGCTTCTGTGTCCATTCCGCCTGTGTGGCCGGATCATTGTATTGGTTCCGTTCCACCGAAAGGTATTTCAGCTCGGGATCGTTGCGATCTACTTCTTCCGACATTGTAGCGGTGTATTTACTCTCTCTCTCTCTCTCTCTATATATATATATATATATATATATTATTCTCACTCAATTCAACTATGGTTTTGTAGTTTGAGTTTTCTCGTCGTATTGTGGGGGCTATTGAGGTTTTTTAATACACACTTTTCTGTTGAGCAGAACAAACACAAAATAATGAATATGGTTTCGTTTAATTTTCACATCGGAAACACCACGGCCATTGAGATACAATATTTTTCGCATTTATCTCGAGACGCGCGCTCTTTATCTTAGAAGTGCGGCACAAAACGGAGGCGGCGAGAACAGTTTCAAAAGGGAAGAGCGCAAGAGAAGAAAAAATATGGCCACAGTTGCTCAAGCCGGCTGTGTCTAGAAATGAACCATTAACCAGTTTGCATTCCGAAGAGTGCAGCAGGAGCAGCGGCAGAGCCGGCAGCAAACATATTTGGTGGCTGGTTTCGGTTTCTTTTTCGAAGCAGAGCAGGTATAAGCGGCCATCATTCCATTCCTTCTCTCCCTTCTCTCTTTCCATCCTTTGTGTACCGCTGTTCTGCGCTCTCCACATTTCAAAGCAGTTTTCCGCATATTTTACACATTAATATTGTTTTTTATTCTCTCGTTTCACTTTGTCAGCACTGCTTTTGTGCAAATTCAACTCAATTTTCACCGAAATGCACGTATTTCGATGCATTTGTTTCAACAAGCGGCGTCGGCGTTGGCGTTGGCATCGACGTCAGCGTCAGCGTCGCCGACAGACCGGCGACTTTTGGGCGTTAAAATTATTCTACATGCATTTTATTTTTTCTTGTCGCGCTTGCTCCTCGCCTTCGGTTTTTGCTGTTTTCTCGCACTACCGATTTATTGATATATTGCTGGCAAGCTGCGTCTTGCAATGTCTTTTTATATGGAAATTGTGCCGTTTTATTTGTTTCAAGCGACAGCTGCACTATGCACACACACACACACACACACAAACACCCAGGAACTCACATTTCGACGCGTCGCACGTCGTTTCAGCGGTTGCTTTACTCACTGTTTATTGCCTTGTTGCGTTACGTTTCGCGTTCTCTCTATTTTCTCTTTCACTTTTTCTTCGCGTTGTCTGTGTGTTTGGGTTTGACTCGATTTTTAACGGTAGCACCTCTATAGTTTTCGATTTATTGTCAACGCGTACTGGCGTTCAGTATTTATACACACTTGCTACACATTTGCTACATAAGGGAAGGAAAAAATGGGTATGAACAACAGGCAAAACCGCCCAGAAAACGCAACCGCATGCAAGCTGATATCCCCCCATTTGACGAATATACCTTGAAGGCAAAAAGCCGATTTTGTGTCCTCACACGCGAGGTGAGGTTCGTACGAACTTTGCAAATTGCTTTGGCTGTTTTTGCCTCTTGTCCTTACCCTTTTTTATAGCCCATTCTAAATTACGACTCAATTTTTCGTCGCAAGAAAGAGTGAACAATTTATCGATATGACATATTAAAATTATTAAACGAATAATTCATCAACGCCACCCCTATTGTTACATGGAGTTTTCGTTTATAAAAACGAGAAAAAGAGGATAAAAGGATAAAGTCAGCCATTTGACTTCAAGGTATATTGTTTGTCAGCAACGCCGAGGTAAGGTTCGTACGAACCTTGCAATTTGCCTTGGTTGTTTTTGTTTGTTGTCCATACCCGTTTTTAAGGCCCATTAAAAAATAACGACTCATTTTTTCGTTTCAGAAGAGAGCAGAAGTCTGACCGTCTGAAAAAAACGTACTTAACCCACTTAAGCCCCCTTTATTTAAACTGATAACAACTTGAACTAAACCAAAAATAATATTCACTCTTGCAGGTCCATCATCTGTATATAAAAAAAGGCCACGATATCTTTCACCTAAAGGGCTCTAAAAATATTTAATCACGAATCATGCTCCTTGATTTTGATATTCGACTTAAGATTAGCTAAGACCTTCAGTCCTCAAAACATAATTTTATCCGATAGATGATTCAATTTTCTAGAAGATTGGCTAGTTTTAAATGCTTAATTTAATTTTATTGTGCCTAAAATAAGGTTTGAACAAAAAAGGTCAGAAATAAAACGTAATGAAATGGACCCTCCAGGCTGGCGAAAAAATGTCGGTATTTTTGTGCGATAAGCGAAACTTATCGGCGCTTTTTTATGAAAATAACAATGTTATAAAGCTAAACAAAATGTTTTTACATTTTATTTCTGTTGTTTGTTGGGCATTGCTGCTATTCGCTGCTTTTGATTTTGATTTTATGACTAGAATTATTTCGACCTTGTTATATACATAGTAAATCAGCAACTGATTTAGCACCGAAGTAGACGGTGGAGATGAGTAAACGGTGCATGGCGCAGATGAAGTGAAGGTTTTTCCGTGGTCTGGAAAAAATAGAATGGAATATTGACTGTACTTTCTACCCATTCCCAGACTGTAGTTATCGTGCACTTCGTAGTTTTCATTTTGGTTTTAGCACAATTTTTCACCTAGTGGTGATAGCTTTTTCCACGAACGCAGGTGTCTTATTTAAGATTGTTTCTGACATCTATCAAAAGATAAATAGAGTTGTGTGTTAATCTTTTTGCAAATGTGACTTTTTTGTGAAACGTACATATATACATGTTCCGCCGACCCACCTTCGCTCCGTACTGTGCTAAGCATTACAACAAAATTTTAGTTGCTTTACTTCGCATCGCATCCACATCTCGTATCATGTCTTTCCATTTTGATCAAGTTTTATATTCATATAAAGCAATGCCAAATTAGCAATATGATAATAAAGATCTAAAAAGAGCCATTCGTTATATAGAGCGGCTATACCACGATGCATCGTTTTGGCATTTGCGGTCAGCGTACTTTTGGGCGCACAGATTAGAAAGAAGTCGGATAGATTCGAATCTGGCGGGCTAGGCCGCCAAGTGTGTACACACAATTTTTTTACACACACATTATATAGATAATCTCTTACTTTTTATTTGTTTGACCTTTTTCGCTAAAACCTTTTTTTGGGCAAAATCCTATAAAAGCAACTATTAAAAATAAACCAGTCAAGTAGAAAATTGATCGGATAAAATTATGTGGGCATAGATAAATATTCTATATAGCTGGGAATATTCGACGGAAGATCAAAATTGAGGGAATCGTCGTATTTGTTGAATCGGTAATGGCCCGGTTGACAACATTTAAATCCTTGTCGCTCACATTCAAAAAAGGTAGATTTGGCGCGCACCACTCGGTATATTTTGTATATTTCGGTGCTGTTCTGAGGGTCATACTGTAGAAACTGGTTTTCGCCGCGCTCCCATGTGGTGTTTTTTTTGCTATTTTTGTAGTGGTATTTTTGTCAATTATTAATTTTATTTTCAATGTTATATAAAAATCCAATAAATGCAAGTATTTCGAATAGGCCAATCATGTATAGAATTGATTAATCAATCGTATAAAATTGAGTGGGCATGGCTAAATGTTCTATATAAATAGTATTATTCAACGGAACAAAGAATATGAGAAAATTTGAATTCGCCGCAGTTCGCCGCAGTTCCCCCAGTTCGCTTTAGCAACAATGAGTCTCATTCCATACACAAATGTTGCGCATTCCATACACAAAAGTTGCGGCAACATTTACTTGAAAACCGTTTTTTGGTCAAAATAAAATACATAAAGGTAATTAAAAGAAGCAATCTTGTAGAAAATGCATTTATCTATGGGATAAAGCTAAGTGGGCAAATCTATATAGCTTGAAATATAGGCAATACCCGATTCGCCGCAGTTTCGCTATTGCAACAATGAGTCCCATTCCATGCACAAATGTTGCTAACATACCCTGGGGGAAATGGATATTATAGAATTGTGAATACGTTTGTCTTCCAAGGCTCAGTAGGTATCAGGATCGACATAAATATATACAAGATACTAATAATGTACATGAATATGTCTAAAGAATATAAATTTGAGAAAAGGCCTTTATAAATAACGTTTCATCTTCATATAAAACTAACAAAATAGGGTATTCCAAGGCCTACACGCATCACAGTGACTCTTTTTTTGTCGAACTTTTCCGTTTAAACCTGTTTTTACAATAAATACAATAAAAGCAAGGATTAAAAACTATCCAATCTTGTAGAAAATTTATTCATCAATGGGATAAAATTATGTGGGCATTACTGAAAGATTTAGTTTGCTAGCATTATTCAATGGAATATCATAATTGAGCAATATGAACGAATTTCCCTTTTCGTTTGTTTTGATTAACCTATTTCGCTACTTGTTTGTTGTTTGACTTATTTCGCTAGAACCTCTTTTTACGCAAAATCCAATAAAAGCATGTGTTTAAAATAAGCCAGTTAAGTAGAAAATTGATTAATTAATCGGATAAAATTATGTGGGCATGGCTAAATGTTCTATATAGCTTAGAATATTCCACGGAATATCAAAAACGAGGAATATGTATTATAGAACTTGAATTCGGCAGTATATTTACGGTATACGGTATTGAAAATGCGCTATATTTTGGTATATTTCTGAGGGTCAGGCCTGGGGGGTGGTTCCTGGGATGGGCGTCCAAGAAAAAACAAACATTTGGCACTTAGAAGAATTATGCTTTAAGCTGAGAAACAAATAAAACAAGCGACAATGCGACGCTCAATCAGCGAAACAGAACATTCCGAATCGGACCTGTCCTCCGGCGCCACAACGGAGAGCAATTCCAGCGATTACGAGCAGGAGGATAGACACCACAGCAGCAGGGTCCACGACTCCACCACCGCCAAGCGAGACAATGTCATGCTGCCCAGGTGAGTCAAGCCTCTTCCGGGTGCAAAGTTCCCAGTTGAGTGTTTATGACGCTCTACTAAATCTTATCTTATCACCAATCCACTGGACGAACAGGCCCTGGGCGTCGAGTGGCGGTTGGATGTGCTTTCTGATGCCGCTGGCCTTGGCCTCACGCTTTCTAAACGCTCCGCCCTGCAAGGAGCAGGTCCATCTCCATCTGATGTTGACGGTGACAGCCGCTGGCATGTGCGTGGAGACACTCTGCTTCTTCGTATACTTCTTTGCGGACACAAGCATACTGGCCAAATGCATCATCAGCCTACTGCCGGGAACATTCACCGCACTTGGTTTCGGCTTCTGCCTGGGCACCTCCTGGTTGTTTGCTGTGGTCGCGGGGTTCCTGATGATAGCTGGCTACCAGCACTTTTACGTCTGCATGATGCGTGGCTTCTCACGGTGCTTCACCTACGGCGAGGCCTCCATTCTATTCCAAGGTCTTATGCTGTTCGTGATAAGCGCCACTTACCGGCTCTACGAACTGTGCTCCGCGGACGCGGATGCCAAGACCTTTAGTGATTTTGACCGACTTAATCTTATAATGCTGGTGGGTTTGGGTGATCATTCTGCCACATCTAATTCTTTCTAATCAGAATCAGAGCCCACTCTTTCACAGAATGCTTTGATGTGGCTGCTCATTCTCTGCGTGCTGGTGATCGCAGTTCCACGGCTGCGTGGGCCTATTCCTTTCTACCTGTTGCTGGGCCTCCTCGTAGTGGCAGTCACCAGTGCCCCCGTCACCAGTCCTGTGCCAATTGTGGCTCTGCTACAGTTCATCTTCAGGGACCCTAAGCGACTGCAAATCATCGGCTTCTACCTGGTACTCGTTCTATTGACCGGCGCCACCGTCACCTGGCAACTGCGGCACACCGTTCAAGCCAACACCCGAGTCCGTAAGATATTCCACCTGTTGATAGTGCTTGTCTTCGTTCCAGGAGTGCTCTTTCAGTGCACTCTACTGTACTTAGCCACGGGCATAGCGCTGGCGGCATTTGTGGTCCTGGAGCTGATGCGACTGCTAGAGATACCTCCATTTTCGGACAGGCTGACCGATGCTTTCCACTCCTTCCGGGATGAAAAGGACGCTGGGGTTCTGGCGCTGACCCCGTTCTGCCTGCTTATTGGATGCTCCATGCCCCTATGGCTGACTCCTTGCCCCTGCTCCGGAAAAGATACTTTGATCCTGCTCTCGGGCATCCTGGCAGTGGGCGTGGGCGACACCGCGGCCAGTGTGGTGGGCTCCAAGATGGGACGCAACATGTGGGGAAGTGAGTAGTGATAGGAGAACACTCCCATTGAACTGCTGACTAATATAACGTTTTCAACTCTTGCAGATTCCTCACGTTCCCTGGAAGGCACTATCGCCTTCGTGATGTCCATCCTTCTGTCCGTCTGGCTGCTGGAGGCGACCGGTCTGCTGGCCATGACACAGGCCAAGTGGTTCGCAACCATTTTCGCAGCCATCAACTCAGCCCTGGTGGAGGCCTTCACCGACCAGGTGGACAATCTGGTGCTGCCCCTAGTCTTTTATATACTCGTTGGCCTGGCCTGATTCTGATCTCCTTGTGAGTGCATATACATATACATGCATATTGACCAACACTAATTATTGGACTGTACTTTTATTTACGGTCCATAGGATCTATAACAAATTATGTAGGTATCAATGCATCATATATGTATACTTACATACATACATACGTGTATTTACAAACATAGTTTCTGCACATAGGCACAAATATAGATTATTTCTGCTGATGTACAAAATTTTGAAATTGTATAATGTATTCCTGAACTTGTTGTATCACATTTCGAATGGGACTGATCTTCCCCGACAATCGTTCCACTTTTGGGGATTTAGCGGCTACACGTTTTGCGCACGTTCTACACTTAACTTACGACTTAAAACATATTAAGGTATGGTATTCATTCAGCTCCTGCTTCTGCCTTAGGACCTGGACCCGGGTGCAGGGCAAGACACCTAGACTGGAAAATGAACGACATGCTGGACTGCATTTAAAGGAACATTATGACAAGAACAAAACACTGGTTGCGGCCATCCAATGCGTACGAACTCCACCCGACTACGTCTGGGAGCTCTGTCCATTGTACCCATCGGTGGCCCTGTCTTAAAGAGGCTCCTGCGTGAAGTAATCGTGCTCTAGGCAAACCAGGGCCGAGGGGCGCATGTTTATGTCGTACGACAGCATTTGCTGGATGAAGTACATGGAGGAGGGCATTGATTAGTAAGTTTATCCAGACGGAGAGAGCAACACACAAACGTACATTCAACAGGTCATCGGAGAACTCGCACAGGTTGGGACAAAAGTCACGTGGCCGCTTGGGAAGGCGGTGAGGGAAATGCTCCCGTGCCACAGAGATGGTTTTGGGCCATTGCTGATCTGTGGGTCGGCCCGTCAGCCTACAGGGAAGAGATGGCAACAACAGAGATTTAGCTATATACATTACACACATATTTTATTCGATACATACTCGAATATACGATCCAGCTGGTTCTTCTCTGATGTGCCCGGGAACAGAGCCTTCCGGTTGAACATCTCAAAGATTATGCAGGCGGCACTCCAGAGATCCACGGAACTGTTGTAGGGCTGGATAAGAAGTACCTCGGGAGCGCGATACCACAGCGTAACAACCACTGATGTCAGCTTCATTTCGGAGTTGTACGTTTTGGCCAGACCAAAATCGGCGATCTTCAGATGGCCCTGAGCGGAAACTAGCAGATTCTGCGGTTTCAGATCGCGGTGGATGATGCGATGCGAGTGCAGAAAGTCCACGCCGGTCAGGAGCTCCCGCGACAGACGCTGCCAGATGGGATCGTTTAGTTCCACAGTTTGACTAATGAGGTATTCTGCGTAATCACCTGGATTGTGATGGGGGACATGCCCGATTTGGGCAGGCGTTCGATGAGGTCAGATAAATCCTGCTCCAGGTGCTCAAAGACCAGGAGAATCATTAGTTGTCCGTCGCGCTCCAGAAACTGGCATACTTCGAACAGTCTGCAATAAGAGGGGAAATCAGAAATGGACTTTTTATATACATATGTACATATGTACATACATATGTGATGTGCATGCTCTGAAAGCGAGAGAATATCGTGATAAATATCTGCGTTACAGACCTTAGACCGACGCTGTTATAAAATGACGCTAGTATTGCGCCAGTGGCCATACTGCGGCCAATTCTTGGACTACAAAAAACACTCCAAACAAACACATGCGCACTTTTACGATATTGCGATCAAGAGAGAGAGAAAGACACACAGAGGTTGAGTGAACACTTTACGGTGTTTAAGAGCGCCAACAATACTAACATATGTATGTTAGACAACAGTTTTCGTCTCTTTATTTTGCTCGTTACAATTTTTCATATTACACATTAATTTTTTTCTTAATTTAACAAACATTTGAAATCTTTTTGTAGAAATATTTTGTTTTACGAAAATGTTAATAAAAATTCTTCAACTTGAATTTTTGCCTCAACCTGTCTTGTTTCTCATTTCTGGCTGCTCATACCAACCAACACGTTTGATATCAAACAACAGAGCTCACTCTCCGGATCGTTTTATTTATACCGTATCTGAGCGAATGAGCACAAACCAATTGTACGACAGATATCTAACGTTGAGTGTGAGAGATTAAACATTCACTCTCTTCCACAACGTTATCAACAGAAGAGAGTCGCGCCGTTACAGTCGGCGCCACACTGCTTGACAGGCAGATATAGGGGGAGAGAGGAGGGGGGAACAACATTGTTGTAGCTTGGCTCTTTCTCTCTCTCTGTGTGCGCACTCCATACCCTTCCTTAACACCCCCTACAGCATTGAATGCATTCAGCAACCGAGACGAATTTCATGGCTGCTACCTGCGTTGAGGCAAAGGAAAAGTGCTAGATAAACAGTGATCGACACGACCCGCCCACCGCACACAATACGCGCTGACATTGTGGCTAGCCGTAATCAGCTGCTCCGGTTGGCCCCTGCAAAAATTAGCTGCCGAATAGTTGGGGCCCCATCCCCAATGGCTGTGATAACGGTCGCCATACTCACTTGACAATGTTGGCGTGATCGCTCGCATTGAGCTGCTTCAGCAGGGAGATCTCCCGCAACGTGGACATCGGTACTCCGTTCTCATTGAGGGCGATGCGGATCTTTTTCAGGGCCACAATATTGCCCGTAACTGTGTCCCGGGCCCTGTAGACAGTCCCATAGGCGCCTGCAAGAGTGAAATTCGCAAATTTAGAACCGAGTGTGATTTAAATGGAAATGTTAAATGTTAATCAAACAAAAGCAAATGCAAAAGCAAAAACAAAGGCAACGTCAAGGCCAGATAAGAACAAGTGAAATTACCGAATTTCGCATGGATGGGAGAAAGAGAGAGTGACTAGTCAGCTGTGTTGATAAGCAAGTAGAAAAAAGAACCGGCTGATTCGCGATAAACCCACCAACACGTCCCATTTCGATTGCCTTTAGAGGTTGGAATATGACGAAAGCAGGTAGCGGAGGTACCAGCAAAGAGAAAGATATAGGATCTATCGATTGGAATGCCAAAGAAAATACACGACTTTGTCGCCGGAAATTTATCACCCCAGACAGAGGCATGCGTGGGACAAGGCAGAAGTTATTTTCGTTGCCACCAGACATATCAGATATTCCGCAGAGACAGCCAGAGAAAGAGTATATAGACAGAGGGAAAGAGAGAGAGAGAGAGAGAGGGGGGATAAGAGAGTGTGCTGTCCACTGTGCTGCTGAAAGAATTAAGCACAAAGCGAATTAATTCACGGAGAGCTCGCCCACACAATAGTGGCCAGGCAACTGAACTTCACCCCACCCCATATAAATACACCTTGGGTCAAGCACCAAGGCCAAGGCAAGCTCCAAAAAACAGTTAATTTTCGACTTCGCGTTCAACTTATTTCGACTATTGGACTCGTTTTCGCCGGCTGCCGACGGCTTCTTTCCTAACTTCGTAAAAAAAAAAAAATAATAAAAAAAATTAGCAACATTTTGCAAAAATCAAAACAACAACTAAACCGAAAGGTTGGAGAGCGAAAGCGAATGGGAAGAAGAGGCAATAATTGAATGAATGCGAAAAACTTGTATGCATGTACTTATAGTACTGACCAAAAGGCCTACAGACAAAAAACCAGTAACCAGTAACAATATCCATCATTAACATTAACCAAGCTTCACCGACGGCTCGGTGACGTAATTGATTGAAGTTTATGTACCTAAAAAATTCAAAAATGCTGCCTGAAATGTGTGTGTCAGCCCCTTGCCCGAATCGATCTGAGATCAATGAGATCGGCACGGTATAGATTTACAGACCAGACCAGGAACCACGTGACTCTGTAACTGAACCTGAAAAGTATGCAAGGAAATGAGATCTTCCCCTGAAGATTCTCAATAAAGGTTATTACTAGACTCTAGGTATTATTATTTCCCCTGTGCTGCGATTTTCCAAGAAAAATTAGTCACGATTCAAAAAAGTTTGTCAATAGCTAAACGATTGAGTCAACAGCACACAACGAATGATCTAATAACTTATAAAATGTGTATTCATAGGGAAACCATATCGAAAATACTTAGAAAAACCCAACAAACCCTCACCTAGTAAAGCCAACAACAATACCTTTAACCTGACCTATCCCAACGATCTGTAGCAGCTCCTACGTACCTGTTCCAATGATGTTGAGTTCTTCGTAGTCCTCAAAGTTTCTTCCATTGGACATCTTCTGACGCTTGTGTTGAGGCGATTGTGACATGTGTATATTCTTATGTTTGATTTGGCTTGTTAGTTGGGATATTATATTACAATGGGATTACGCAAGGACGAGAACTTTTACCGATACATAAAGGGCTGGACATGAGCATGTGCCTGCACTATTGAGAAATAAAATTAAATTAAACACTGATAAGAATATCCATCACCGTCGATGGTTTGATAGAATCCTCGGCCGCGTCCTTGATATCCGCGTGTGCGTACCAAAGCGAAACGGTGGAGGGAAAGAAAAAAAGAGCGTCTGCTCTACTGATAACCTAACCAAACTTGCGATAAAGCTACGTGTGACAGGTGTTAATAGGCCCGAAATACTCGGCCTCGCCGAGCAGACTGCCTCCTCCGTTCTGGCGCTGCTAAGGTCATTGAACCTTTGTGCCGGCTAATGTTAATGTTTTCCGTTTTATTGCTTGTATTTTATGCTCAGACGATCGAGAGAGAGCGGCTTTGCTTAGCTTTAGTTATGATTAATTCATGTTACTGTTGCTTGCTCTTCCAATTCTTCGTCTTCCCTGCTGATCCGTCTCTCTCTCTCTCTCCCTCTCTCCCTTTCTTGCCTCTCTTTTGCCGTTTATCCTGTTACTTTTACTCCACAAGCCAAAAGTGAGCGAAAGAGAGACAGAGAGTGCAAACTAGTTAATGTTGCTGCTTTTGCTTTTGCGCAAAACCGACATTTTTCCCCCATTTGTCAATTAATTCTAATCGCGGGACGGAAAAAAACAACAGCAATGCAGAAGCAACAAAAACACAACAAAAGCTGCAAAGGCAACAAAACAGAAGCAAAAACAGGGCAAAGAGGCAGAGGTAAAGCAAATGCTAAGAGCGCAGACACTGGCAACGACGCTGCTCATGTACTGTAATTTATGCGCATGGAAATGCGCAGATCGCGGACGCGATGAAGGAATCTTAGTCAATAAATTGTTAAACAGTTAGTTTTGTAATACAAATACGCCGCACCCCGAACGCGAGCACTACACGCACGAAATGGAACTTTTCTCCTCCCGCATCATGAATTCGTTTCTTTTTGGTTATTCCGCAGCTAACAATTTTCGGTGTCGCGTTTATTTCAATGCCAATGTTTTTATATATGTGTGTGTGTAAGATATTAGTTAAATATTTAAAAAAATGTGTTTTTATTTGTCAAGAGACCAACTCGACTCACACACACACACACACACACACACACATGTACCCGATCGCACTCTAAAACAGACGTGATCTCTACACACAGGCACACACAACACACTTAAATGAATATAAAAAATTTTGTTGAACAAAATTTGTTCGTTCCGTCCGGAAACAATTTTGAATTTACTTTTTTAATCAGCAAGCAACCGCGATGCGGGGGCCTAGGTTGGGCCATGCAGCAGTTTAATTAAGTTTCTTAAAACAAAGATTTAACAATATTTGTAAGATCACGGCAGCGAGGAAGTCGAATCGAGTCGTTTGGTTTGGTTGCAAATGCTCACGCAAGAAAATGGCACTCAAAGCTGGTCCGTTTACGATATTGCTAACATAGCTTTCTCTTGAGCCTTTTAGCGCAACAGCACTGTTAAAGATATTCGAAACTGCGCGCTCTTCGAAATCGGTGGGGGAGGAATTAAAGCGCATACCACCCACACGCAAAACCGACGGCTATATAAATTTAGAATTTATTTTAAATTAATAAAATGAAAAACACAATCAATGTTAGTGGTTAATTCTAGACTATAGGGCGGCTAATTTTGCATCCAATTCTTTCATATCGACGCCTATTTCGATGAGACGTTTCTCCTGCTCTTTGGTGTCCAGCCCGTGTTCCTTATTGTATCTGTAGTTGACTGTCAGCTGCACCTCCTCCATGTCGCTTACATGGTCGTACAGATTTCCCCCCAGCCGTTCATCAATGTCACTTTCCTCGCGAAGGCAGCAGAAATACAAGAGAAATACGGCCAAGCTGGCTGAGATCACGTAGGGCTGGTACCAGAGGGATTCATCATCACCCCCACTTCGAGTGTCCCGTGCTCGCCAAGTGGCCGCCTGACTGCCAAAGAACTGTATCGGCTCATTGCTGATCTGTCCCTCCTCCGGCTTCTTGTTTCCGTCGGCCAAGTTCTGGGCATAAAAACGCGGAGAGCCATAGGGAGCCGTGAACAGCTGCCTGAACAAAATCGACAACTAATCTGAATTCTTTATGGTTGATAAAATATTGGTTTACTCACCTTGCAAGTCTTGTTTTTGTTAACAAACGCAGCATTTTATTTTCTTAAATTTTAAAAATTTTCTTTCAATCCAAAAATTTCATAACAAATGGTAAACAGCTGAGCGCCAGGGCAGTAGGAACGAAGACTGACTTCAGTCTTATTTGTTTGACCTTTTTCGCTAAAGCCCTTTTTAGACACAATCTAATAAAAGGGATACAAAAAATAAACCAGTCAAGTAGAAAATTGATTAATTAATCGGATAAAATTATGTGGTCATGGCTAAATGTTCTATATAGCTGAGAATATTTCACGGAAGATCAAAAACGAATATGTTAAATATATCTGGAGTTCGTCAGTATATTTACGGTTTATTTTGAAAATGAGACGGTATATTTCGGTATATTTCTGAGGGTCATACTGGTTGTGAATTATAAACACGCGGTTCTGAAATTTTTCAGAATTTTAAAATTTTTTTGGTCCAAAATGGGTGCAACTAAGAATTTAGACCTGATTGGCACCATTGAAGATGATGCCGAGGTGGAGAATCTATCCGAGGACTCTGATGCCGAAGTGGAGGTGAGAAAACACGATATATTTTATCCCTGAATGAAAACTGAGACACTCCACAACCTTCTCTCACCCGTCGGCGCTCACAGTATCAACCCACAAAATTGCGACACAAGAAGGTAACAGAGTTCGAGAAGGGTTTCGAGTTTGTGGGCTCCGTTAAGGAGTACAACCAGGACACCTGGGACGATCTGATGAAGTATGTCAAGAGGAAGGCACGCACAAAGACAGATGACAAGATTGCAGCCCGTCTGCAGAAACGTGGTGGAGCCGAGGCGGTGGTCGCCGAGCAAAGTGATGAGGACGAAATAGACCTTTCTGAGGATGAGCTCCAGCACGACAATCTGCGTTTGCGGGAAAAGAAGCAAACCAAGAGCAAGAAGAAGAAAAAGGCCGAAGAAGAAGATGAGGATGAGGGTGAAAAAATGCAATTTGACGACACTGTGGAGGGCAACGAGCAAATCACCTCCTTCTATCAAATGAATCTTTCGCGTCCCCTCATGAGGGCCATCGGAGTACTGGGCTACATCTACCCCACGCCCATCCAGGCCTCAACGATACCGATTGCCCTCTTGGGCCGGGACATCTGTGGCTGTGCTGCCACTGGTACGGGCAAGACGGCAGCCTATATGTTGCCCACACTGGAGCGTCTGCTGTATCGGCCACTCAATAACAAGGCCATCACCCGTGTCCTGGTTCTGGTGCCCACCCGTGAGCTGGGTGCCCAGGTCTATCAGGTGACGAAACAGCTCTGCCAATTCACAAGCATTGATGTGGGATTGGCCATTGGGGGCCTAGATGTGAAGGCACAGGAGGCTGTGCTGCGTCAGAATCCAGATATTGTGATAGCCACTCCTGGACGTCTTATAGATCACATCAAAAACACGCCCAGCTTTACCCTGGACTCCATTGAGGTGAGCTTATCCCCAGATATTCGATTGATCTTTCTTACTATTACTATGATGAATGTCCATCCTTGCGCTCTGAGCTCAACCCTGGGCAAAGCGGATAGCCTTGGTACTTGCAACTGCGCGGCAGATGCAAGCTGATCAGAGAGAGATTTAAATGAATATTCCCCATTTATAGTCAACGTCTAATTAGGTTTATTCTTGATTTACAGGTTCTCATCCTGGACGAAGCTGACCGAATGCTGGACGAATATTTCGCAGAGCAAATGAAGGAGATCATCAATTCCTGTTGTAAGACGCGCCAGACCATGCTTTTTTCGGCCACGATGAGCGAGCAGGTCAAGGATTTGGCTGCCGTCTCGCTAGACAAGCCTGTCAAGGTCTTTGTAAACAACAATCAACAGGTGGCCTTTAATCTGCGGCAGGAATTCATACGCATACGCGAGGACAAGGAGGGAGATCGCGAGCCCATTTTGGCCAGCTTAATTTGTCGCACATTCCACGATCATTGCATGGTTTTTGTGCAGACCAAGAAGCAGGCCCATCGCTTGCACATCCTGTTGGGTCTGCTGGGCATAAGGGCCGGTGAGCTCCATGGAAATCTGACCCAGCAACAGCGTTTGGAATCACTCAAGAAATTCAAGGAAGAGCAGATCGATGTCTTGATCGCCACAGATGTGGCAGCTCGTGGTCTGGACATTGTGGGTGTGAAGACAGTCATTAACTTTGTGATGCCCATTACGACAGAGCATTATATCCATCGTGTGGGCCGTACAGCGCGTGCCGGTCGTGCCGGTATCTCCGTCTCGTTGGCTGGTGAAAAGGAACGCAAGATTGTCAAAGATATTATCAAGAATGCCGAGAGCACCATTAAGAATCGCATTATTCCACCAGAGATTATTGAGAAGTATCGCAAGAAGCTGACTGCCCTGGAGCCAGAGATTCGTGAGTTCAAAAATCCAGTTATGATTTACCCTTAGACCCATCATTGATTCCATTCAGAAAACATTCTCGACGAGGAGCAGGCCGAGCGTCAGCTCGCCAAGACAGAGCAGCAACTGTCCAAAACCGAGCGTAAGCTCTTGGGCCAGACAAACGACAAACGCGGCTGGTTCCAAACAAAGCAGCAGCGTGAGGATGAAAAGAACCGACTCGCACTGACCCCAAGTGACGAGGGCAAGACAGCTGGCGGCAAGGGCAAGGGTCACGGCCCGAACGCTGGTAAACGCAAGCGACCCGAATACGGCGGTGATGGTGAAGATGGACCGCCTGTCAAGGAGCTGGATGCCAAGCGCCACAAGAAAAAAAAAGAGGAGCCGAGGAAAAAGACGCCTGAGCAGATGGCTAAGGAGCGGGCCATGAAAGAAATCGAGAAGGTGTCGCTGGTGCGGGCCAAAATGTCCAAGCTCCGCAAGCGCCCTGGGAAGCTAGGGGCAACTGAACCTACCAGATACGGGTCCAATGCGGCGTCCAATCAACCTAAGCGGCGCGGCCCTCAATCGGCATTCACCAACGATTTGACCGATGTCAGTCGGGGTGGGGCATTGCGATTGAGGTAAGCACATATATAATTGCATTTAAAGATAATTCCATTAACGCATTTACCTTCAAAACCAGATCCGAGGCTAACCGCCACAAGAAGATGACAAAGATTGCGGCCACGAAGAAGGTCAGCACCGTGAAGCTGACAAACAAGGCGGGCAAAAACAAGTTCAACAAGGGAAAAAGCTTTGGCGGACCTCGCTTCCAAAAGAAGGATAAAAAGAAATAGTTATACGCTTACCTTATCAAAGCGAATACACAAATTAATCTAAGCTGTCTTAGATTGTCTACAAAAGAACTCAATATTTTTCTTATGCTTTATGGTGGCACCGAACTGTTTTATTGAATTGGAAACCCTAATCTTGGCGTCCAGCTCTGCGTTCGACGAAATTATGTGCCTGTCCTCCTTGGCGCCCAAGCCTGCAGCAGCTGATATCTGTCGCTCTGCGCTGGAGCTGGGCAAGTAAGTCCGCCACATAGACAACAGCAGGATTAGCGCTCTTTGCCCGTGTCCTTGTACAACAATCTCTTACATTGAGTTTAAGGTGTGACAAGAATTATTATAATGATCCGATCTGATCCAGATTCGGCAATCTGGTAGATATGGTCAATGATTCTGGGTTTTCGGGTTGTGGATGCAACAGGGCGAAATTTTAAACACACTTGTAGCAGTGTGATACCACAGGAGTCTGGATACAATAGTTTGTTGCTCTAGGTATTATAGCCTTTGAGATATCAGCTAAGCGTTCATCGGGACGGATAGACAGACATAGCTATATCGACTCGGATATTGATGCAGATCAAGAATGTATATAAGTTATCCACCACAAAACTAATATATTTCTTAGCTCTTCGGGTGCTGGGTGTAAAAACTTGACTGGTTGTCAAAATCAGAAATCAACTCATTTGTTAACTTTTCTTTTCCACAGCATGCCCTGGCAATTATGTTGCTCCATACCATACAATATAGTAGAGAGCGTAGACTCAAAGTGTTATAAGTATTTTTAATTTTATTTGAAATTTGAAAAAAAAAAATAAAAAAAATTTTTAGTATTACAAATTTGTAGTCTGCGAAAAATGTGGAAAATGAATTTGTACTCTGTGCTGTGCGCTTTTTGCCTCCTGTTTGTTGTAAGTACTGAAGTCGCTATTATTTTTATTTCTGATGAACACTCTACAACACGAACAATCCCAGATGATCCATCGACGACATGCCATACTAGCAGTGCCGATCCACAGTGTGCAGGGTCCTCGAAGCTCGAACGAATCGTCGCTGCAGGAGCCCCACGTTGATTCTGAGCATCCAAAGATAGTCGAGTCTATCATAAACCCTAGACAGGCACAAGCATTGGGGTCCGGTTCGAACATGGGACTGTCTACGGGCCTTGGCAGCAAATTCTCTTCGAAAGTGAGAAAAAATTCACCGATGATGATCAGTGAGCAGCGAGAGGCCAGCGGTAAGCAACGGCGACTCCGAGCTATAGAAGATCTTTTCGCTCGAACAACGACGCGGCCCAAGGAGCTAACCATACCACTAGCACGCGGGATTGTGGACAGCATGGGCAGGCGAAAGAGCAACTATTGGACTGTCACCTACGGCGGTGTGTGGAGGGACACGCGTCTCGTCGACACTTACCAGAGACGAGCCCCCCGTATCCACTTGGCGTCGAATCCACTCGTAAACTACTATCCCGACGACAAGAGACTCGCTACCGTGTGCAAGGATAAATCGACTTTAATAAGTCTTAGGGGACTTATCACGTTAAACTGGACAACCGAACGTATATACAGCAAGGTCTTCGTTCACAGGAAAATGCACGTTTCGAGGGATTGGGCGTCAGGCATGTTAGACTTGTTTTGCCACGTGCCAAGGAAAGAACATGCAGGATATTTGAGAAGAGAGACCACAGTCCTAGCACATTTGAGATGCACCACACTTGCCTTTCACAGGATGTCAGACATGATTCCAGGGTACAATCTCATGAATTGGTGATACCACATGAGTCTGGATACAATAGTTTGTTGCAGATGAATAATGTATGTATATTAGTTATCCACCACAAAACTAATATATTCCTTAACTCTTCGAGTCCCAGCAATCGGAGAGCAGGGCGGCCGATATGCAAAGCTGTAGAAATGGTGAGTAGGATATTGTTAGTTTAAGAATTTGGGCAGATATCGTGTCTTTCCACTCACCTTGTTAATGGGACACTGAAACTCTCCTGGCCGCTTGCAGCAGTCGGCCTCAACGTGGACATTGCGACAGTTTTCACAGGTGGTACCATCGCAGACCAGAGCCTTGTCGCTGCCCTCGGCTGTCAGCTGAACTGATCCGCCGGGCGATCCTTTCGTCACAGCGCCAGAAGACGGATATACAATCGTTGTTCATGTCACTACTCCCGCCACTTAAAATTATCTGGCCGGACACACGCTGTAGTTCTCCTTGTCCTCCAGTAGCATCAGATGCTTGGGGCACGAGCAGACGTCGTGAGTACTGCGTGTCACACCCCGCTGGCTATGCAGATGTGGGAACACTTTGTGCGACTGTGAAGACAATTGTGATTGCGCAGCACTTTCGCACCCGATGTCCACACGGCACTGATGTCGGTGAACTGCGACAGACGCTGCAGCTCCGCAGAACGACGTTCTCCGTTGACAGTGATCCGCTCCATTCCGGTCTTGTCATCCAGCCAGTACACAAATCCCCCCAAGGCGGCATTGTTGTTCACCGGAAACAAGGGTTTTCCTGTAGAGAGGGAACAGGAGATTAAACATGTATCCAGAGGGTCGGGTCCCCATATTGGTTGCTTACTTGTTCTTTCCTTTAAGGTCTATCACATCGATTCGCTTGCCATGGGCATAGTAGATCTTATCGGACTCATTGCCATCGACTCGGGCCTGAGTGGTGGCCTGATGGCTGCCGACATCTGTCGAGAGGAGCAGACGCCTCGCCTTCATGGCAAGCACGTCAATGTTGCGAGGCTTCTGCGAGTTCGCCAAAGAAGACAAAAGAGGAAACTTTTTAGAACACAGCTGAATAGGCGAGAGAGCTTCACTTGGGCACGGATATTCTTGCCGGACAGCGGCAGCGGCATATTCAGGCAGTCTGTCGTAGCTGTGGGGGATGCAGGGCACGTTCTTGGCGAGGCTGCGGCTCTGGCCAGTCTGGATCAATGTCTCCTGTGCTCCAGTCGCTCCATTACACGTAGTCCTAGTTGCCAACCAGTGTCCGACGCTTCTTGCCATCCAGTAGAGGCGTCTCGTCTCTTGGTCGAATATAAGCTCCGGGCCATGATTGCTTGCAGCTCGGATTCGTCCATCGTGACGCGGCGTATGGAGTCCGAGGCGACTCTGTAGATGTACATGTAGTCGCGACGCGTCTCGAGGACCAGGGAACGCGGCTTCTCCACCCCCTTCCACAAGAGCACGCGCCGGCTGCTGCCATCCAAGCGGGTGATCTCGATGAGACGAGCCTCCGCATCGGACCGACGCGAGAACAGCTCCCATTTCCCACGTCTTTCCTTCGCACCAGACGCCAGAATCCTGAAGATGCCGGTGTCCCGACGCCAACCAGTAAAGGCGTCTCGTCTCCTGGTCGAATCTGAGCTCCCGGCGTATGGAGTCCGAGGGGAGGGGGGCGACCTCTGTCCGGCTGTCCACTCCTTCCAGGATGCGCGCCCTCGGCGTTGTCCACTCTGCACAGGAATTTTCCTTTGAAACCAGCTGTTCGGCTGCACCAGCACCCCCTCGGCACCACGACACCCCTCTGGCCAACGGCCTGCAAACGGCGTCCTAAAGTACCATCAAAAAACAATTGCAGCTCTGGTCACGTTAACCAGCTGTTTCTGGCAGTGCTGGTGGTGTGACCAGAGGATGCCAGTCAGTGTGACCGAATTGAGCCTGTGCCTTTTTTATAAATAATATAAATAATAATAAATAACGCCCTAAAATTTAGCAAAATAATGAGTAATAATATGGGGTATGGCCCGCCACCTTCCGATTCTGACTCGGACAGCTGCTACGATGGCTTCTACTTTTCGGATAAGGTAATTTTCCTGGAATGTTATGGCCACGAGGATTTTTTGGGTTTCAATGTCTTGTTTTGTGCAGGTTAAGAAAAGTCCAAAGCCACAGCCGACTGTGGAACCGGATCGGAAGCTCTACGAAGCCGTACTTGAGGGGGACGTAAAGGCCGTGATCAAGGAAATTGATTCCCTGCGGTTCAACGTGAACGACCCGATCCGCTGGGGACGGACGATGTTGATGTTCGCCTGCCGCGAGGGTCACTACGATTTGGCCGCGTACTTGCTGGAGAAGCGGTCGGCCAGCGCCAACAAGCAGGTGGAAACTCAGACGCCATTGATGGAGGCCTGCGACTGTGAGAAGAACGATCCGTACTTGGTAGAGAAGCTGGTCCGTCTGCTGCTCCAACATGGGGCAGCCATCAATGTGTCCAACAAATGCGGGATGACTCCGTTAATGTTTGCCTGTCGCAACGGCTACACCAGTGTCGTCCGCCTGATAGTCAAAGACGCCAGCTTGAACGCTGTGGACCACGTTGGCTGCACAGCGCTTTTTCATGCCATCGAGAAGAACCGCGCGGATATTGTCAAGCTTCTGGTGGAAGCGGGCGTAAATGCCATGATACCCAACGGTAAGGGCTACACTCCCACACAGGCGGCCGAGTCTTATGGTTATTATGATCTGCTGGAACTATTGCCACGGACTGAAGAAACGTACTCGGTGCCATTGCACTTTCTGTGCTACCACACGCTAAGGGACCACATTCCACGCATCTTTCTGAAGACCGAGTGCCCGGAGTACTTCCAGGAGCTGAAAAGCATCCTACAATCCATCGATATGCAGGATCAGCTGCACCATTTCGCCATTTCGCGTACTTCCCTGGCCGAATTCCTAGTGATGGATGATCAAGCGCTCAAGAAAGTGGGCATCCCCTTTCCTGTGCAACGTAACAAGATTCTGAAGGGCATCTTGGAGTGAGTGCATGTCTGAAAAATTTAATTGAATCTGTATCATCATCATCGCTTGCAGCTTTCACCTCCACCATTGGTCCTACAAGTCAATAGCTCGAGTGAAGATGGATGGAATGGACAAGTGGGTGCCCACACAAAGATTCCTTCCCATTGACTGTGAAATGAACGCAATGATTCTTGCCTTTCAGCTTCTATGATATTCTCATGATCACCGCCAGCCATATGCAACAGTTGGTCATCATCCAGGCTTCCCTGGACTTTGTCAAGAAGAACCTAAATGCCGGGGTGCTGGGTAAAACCTCGACGATGCAATTGGCCAGCCTTAAGACCAATATTATGGCATATCGCAAATCGGTCGACGACTTAACCAAGACCGTTAAATATGTAAGCGCTAGCTGTATGCAACTGGGATTCCTGCACTAAACTAATCTCTTTCCTCCGTTCGCAGCTTGGTTCGTTCAGTCCTGCGAAGAATCCGCTCCACATCGACTATAACGATATTCTCGCCGTGCGAAAGCGCACAACGGTGCGACGCTACTTCAAGTACACAACCATTATACTGGGCATCTCAGTATTAATCTGCCTCAAATCCAAGTGGTTTGGATTGTAGATTCCATTCCATTTCCGCTTTGCAGTACAAACCACATTGATCCTCAAAGAATTTAGAAAATTCGCTTGTGTTCGCTCAAATCAAAATAGTTCTAGGCTAAGAAGTACGAAATCAACCAAGTGTTATATGAAGTTTATAAGTTTAAATGCGTTAATAATGAAATATAAAATTGTTTTGAAAATTGAGATTTAAATTCTTCTCATTAAGGCAGTATATAAAATATGTTGATTGCATCCCTATTCCTACTTGTTTTCATACAAATTTTTAAAATTTTCATGGCGAATTTCCGTGCAAAGGTGTAGTGTAAGAAGGAGTGGGCCAGCTGGCCTATTGAGGGGGCAGCGGGGATAAGCAACAGCAGCAGCAATAACAGCAATAAGCAATAACAGCAGCAGAGGAACAGCTGATGAGCAGCAACGGCAGTAGTAACAGCAGCTGCAACAGCAGTAGTAGCAGCAGCAGCAACAGCAGTAGTAACAGCAGCAGATCAACAGCGGACAGAGAAGAAGAGGAACCGATCGAAGCAGTGAAAAGGAGAGAACAGCAGCATACGACTCAAGCAGCGTGCGTGTGTTTGTGTTCTGGTAAAATTAAGTAAAACAAGGTAAACGGCAGACTGATCACGAATCTAATCTGGAACCTGGATAATGCAAGTGGATCTGGAGCCGGGTGTCATCCGAAAGCTTGACGAGGTGGTGGTGAATCGCATTGCCGCTGGCGAAATAATCCAGCGACCGGCCAACGCATTGAAGGAGCTGCTGGAGAATAGTTTGGACGCCAAATCGAGCCACATCCAGGTGCACGTGAAGTCTGGCGGCCTGACGCTGCTGCAGATCCAGGACAACGGCACCGGGATACGCAGAGAGGACTTGGAAATAGTCTGCGAACGCTTCACTACATCCAAGCTGGCCAAATTCGAGGATCTCTCCCAAATAGCTACTTTCGGCTTCCGCGGCGAGGCACTGGCGAGCATCAGTCATGTGGCCCACCTGACGATCCAAACCAAGACGGCCCAGGAGCGGTGCGGCTACAAGGCCATCTACGCCGATGGCCGGCTTCAGGGTCAGCCGAAGCCCTGTGCCGGTAACCAGGGCACCATCATCACCATCGAGGATTTGTTCTACAACATGTCGCAGCGACGGCAGGCACTCAAGTCTCCGGGTGACGAGTTCCAGAAGCTTTCCGATGTTCTGGCCAAGTACGCAGTACACAATCCTCAGGTGGGCTTCACCCTGCGCAAACAGGGCGAGCCGCAGCCTTCGCTGAAGACTCCTGTCGCCAGTTCGAGGTCGGAGAACATCAGAATCATCTATGGCGCCGGCATCTCCAAGGAGTTACTGCATTTCAGTCACAAGAATGAGGTGTTCAAGTTCGAGGTTGAGTGTCTGCTCACTCAAGTCAACTACTCGGCCAAGCGGAGCCAGATGCTGCTATTTATCAATCAGCGTCTCGTGGAGTCGCCGGGTGAGTAGCATCTTTCCCATTTCCTGGATATTCAAAGCTGATTCCCTCCCTTTCAGCCCTCAAGTGCGCCGTGGATGCAGTGTACGCCACTTATTTGCCGCGTGGCCATCATCCCTTTGTGTACATGAGCCTAAAGCTGCCGCCCCAGAATCTAGACGTGAATGTGCACCCCACCAAGCATGAGGTGCATTTCCTCTACCAGGACGAGATCGTCGAGCGCCTGAAGGAGCAGGTGGAGATCCAACTTTTGGGCAGCAATACTACCAGAACCTTCTACAAGCAGCTCAAGTTGCCCGGAGCCTCAGATCTGGACGAAACGCAGCCGGTGGACAAGAGCCAGCGCATCTATCCCAAGCAACTCATTCGCACCGATTCCAGTGAACAAAAGATGGACAAGTTCCTGGCCGATATCAAAAAGAGTGACTCTGGTCTGTCCTCCACCTCCTCCGGCAACGATACAGCCGCCTTCCAGGAGAAGTCCAGCGAAACGAGTTGCTCACAGGAGGAGAGCTTCCGCCTTATAGCAGCACGCAAGGCGCGGGAGGTTCGCCTGAGCAGCGTCCTGGATATGCGACGGAGCGTGGAGCGACAGTGCAACGTTCAACTGAGGAGCATCCTCAAAAACCTGGTGTATGTGGGCTGTGTGGACGAGCGTCGGGCCCTGTTCCAGCACGAGACACGCCTCTATCTGTGCAACACCCGAGCCTTCAGCGAGGAGCTGTTCTACCAAAGATTGGTGTACGAGTTTCAGAACTGCTCCGAAATCAGTGTAATGCCGCCGCTATCGTTGCACGAGCTGTTAATGATTGCCCTGGACAGCGAAGCGGCTGGCTGGACGCCCGAGGATGGGGACAAGACCGAACTGGCCGCCAGCGCCGTCCAGATCCTCCAGCAAAAGGCCCCCATAATGAAGGAGTATTTCGGTCTACGCATATCGGAGGAGGGATTGGTCGAGTCGCTGCCCAGCCTGGTGGGCCGGCACAAGCCAAGTGCCACACATCTGCCCGTCTACTTGTTGCGCCTGGCCACCGAGGTTGACTGGGAGCAGGAGGCCAAGTGCTTCGAGTCCTTTTGCCGCGAGACAGCGCGTTTCTATGCTCAACAGGACTGGCACGATGATGAATCGTCGTGTCACCTGCCATGGCAAACGGAGCATGTGCTCTTTCCAGCTCTGAAAAAGTACCTAGTGCCCCCGGCTCGTCTCCGGCAACAGATCTATGAGCTCACCAATCTGCCCACGCTCTACAAGGTCTTCGAGAGGTGCTAGCATGAGATTATTGCTTAAGCTTCAAAGTATTGTTTTTTTAATCGACTGCATAAATAATTTATAGTCCTTACAGCTAAGAGGATTGGATTCGTTTGGAGGGGTCTGGTGGGGGGAAACCATGGACAAGGCAAGTCGCGTGTCAGCTTGCCAAGACCATGTTTTCCCCTGTCCTGTGTAGGAGCAGGACCATTACATGCCCCTCACTAAGTCAGATCCGGCTGACGAAAACGAGTGACACGCTCGGCGTTCTTCACGTGCTCCTTGAGAAGCTTCATGATCTCCGTGTTGTATTCCTCGGGCGTGGGCTTCACCTCGGTGGCCCAGTAGTATATGTCCCAGTCGTTGCTGACCCCATTTATCAACTGGTCATAGATGGCCGTCTGTTCGGCACTGAAGTCCTTCAAGTATTTGGCGGCAAAGGTGCTCAGAAGTAGATCGTTCTCCAGCATTCCACGCTTACGCGATTGATAGAGCAAACTATGAAGTGGATGGTCGAATTTAGAAGGGTGGGTAATCATTCCATTCATCGTATGAAGTGTTCTCCCCCACTCACCGCTGTTTGCGTGTCTCCAGGGGCTCGTTGGGACGCACCGGGTACTCCGGCAGCGGCAAGTAATCCGGATCCTCGTAGTCCACAATCACGTCGTCGCTAATGGGGGCCAGGAAGGGCGGCACCTGGCTGCTGGAGGCTGAGGCTTGGCGCTGCCAGGGCATAAAAATCCATCGGGAAATATTCAACGTCAGCTGCAATCGAAAATAGAAAATAGGCAAAATCTTATGCAATCGGCAATGCACTTCTTCCGCCTTACCTTCAATTGACGCAACATCTTGCAAAAAAAAAAAAACGTGAGCTGTATATTAACGTATATATTAGATTAACGAGTATTCTGTTATTATGTTTTTCAAACTTTTTGCCAAATTAGTTTTTTTTATAATTTTGAATAATCAAAACTACTTGACAAATGTCGCCAGCCCTCTGAGCAGATTTGGGGATACGAAAAATGGGGTGGAAAAGTTGGATAACTAATGCAGACAAGAAGGACAGACAGATTTAATGTTTTTATTATTTAATGTTTCTGGTGTAATTTTATGGTCTTAAACGATTTGAAATTAACCTAGGCGCGATTATTGCCATTCATTGCCCTTAAAAACCATCGGCTAAATATCGCACAGAAACGTGCGGTTTAGGAACATCCCAGATGAATGGTGGAATAACTGAAATTTTCGAAATGGCAAAACCATACCTCTTTTTCTTAACATACCTTGGCTTGCAAGGCTGTCCTCAAACGCGAGGTGAGGTTTTTACGAACCTTGCAATATGCTTTGGCTGTTTTTTCCTGTTGTTCTTACCCTTTCTACAGCCCATTCAAAATTACGCTCTCGCTTAAGACGTAAATGTAGAATAAATTACCGAACTTGAGATCCACATATTGAGCACCTCTAAAATCTCAAATAAAATTTTTGATAAATTTCAATAGCAGTTGACAACAGCTGCTCTCTCCCGCTCCTCTCTTGCGACGAACAAAAGAGTCGAGCGACGGTAAGTTTGACAGGGACGGGACTATTGACAGGGGTCTGGACAACAAGCAATCAGATGATTAATTATGGGATGCTGTTATGTTTTTGGCATAATTTATTTTTTTCCAACTTTCTTTGAAGTGGTCCTCCAACACGATTCTATATATCTTAACGATCTCAAAGATTTTTTAAAATCAGCAAAATGTTCAAAACATTCTACTCACACGAGACGGACGACCAGAAAAATAGGGTATACAAATGTCCATAACGGTCTTCAAATATAAGCAACGTAAGAAATGTCGTGAAATTCCATACTCACTTACGTTACATTTCACCAAAGACTATACAATACTGTATTGTATAGTATTGTATTGTATAGTCTTTGATTTCACACTACTTACGTTTTATGTTTTGACCTTTTTTGGTCAAACCTTATTTCATCATGGACGATTAACCCATTGTCGACCAGTGTGTGTAAAATACACCACGAACATTATGAATCTTGAAAATTTTTAACGCAGTTCAGTTGAAAGATATCGTGATAATTGTTATGCAAAGATGAAGATGGTAATTAAAATAGTAATTATTATTATTATGAGTACTATTATCCGCGTTTAACTCAAGATGTTATCCTGTTTAAATAAAGGGGGCTTAAGCGGGCTAAGTTCGTGTTTTCATCTGTATGTTTAAAAGTTTTTCCCATCGTTAGCAGTAAAAAAAAATTTGGACGAGCGCGGTGACGTCGCGCATTGTTGTGAAAATTAATGAAAGATTTCGACGCCAAACTATGTGAAATAATCATAATTCTAATAAAAGCCTGTGCAGAGGTGTGATAGGTAAATAAATGTGGGTGTTGTTGCCGTAAAAATACATATCTAGTTAATTGAGGAAGTGTCCTTTCCCCCTCATTACCGCGTTTGTGAGTGTGTGAGCCTGTGCGTGTGTGTTTCACCGCGCGAAAGAAGTAAACAAAAACGTGCGACACTGCCAGAAAAATGCAAAGCTATATAAAAATCTGAATTAAAGGTTAACGAAAAGTGCTATCCCCGGCTGCACGAGCTGTTAGTTGTTGCTGTATTTGTTGTTGGTGCACAAGGAGAAAGAAATAGTAAAAGAAGCGGAAAGACAGCAGCACCGATAGCAACAGCAGCGGGGAGAAGCGTGAAGAGCAGTGCGGCAAGATGCCGGCGACAGCGAATGTGCGGGTGTTGTTGTTGTTGTGCTGCGCCGTCGTTGTGGATAGCAGTAAATTGCAGGAGCAGCAACAGGAGTCCTCCACGAAGAAACCCTCGGATGAGAAAGGTAAGAACGTGCTTTATCTCTCATTCTCTGACTCGCCTCGCTCTCATCTTAATTGTTTTCAATCTGCGGTGCATTAACCTGGCCCTCTCTCTCACACTCACACATTCTCATGGCTATGCCAAAAATAACAGCAGCGTCTCTCTGTCTGTGTGTCTCTCCCAATTTTTCTCTCTCTCTCTTCATCTTGTCCCTCGAGCATTTACTTTGTTATGCAAACTCTTTGTTTTTTCTTGTTTCCACAAAAACACCACGCAAATAAACAAAACAAGAAAAACAAAGAAAATGGAAAACAATTTTTGTGGATTTGCGTGGAATGTGGTACTTTACTTGCAACAAAAACAGATAAAAAACAAACAAAAAAATAGGATACAAATATTTGCGCTGCACGGAAAATGGAAGAAGCTTCGAGGAGTGTGGTACATGAAGGGGTAAATGATCCCAGCCAATGGCCACTTTCCAACGCTTCAATCGATATGTTTTTTGTCTGATGATCATTCAACCTCAATCTTCCAATCTTGCATATACCCTCCCCATGGATATAAAAAGATCAAAACTCTTAATTGGAACAGGATCCGCATAAATCATAAACCACTCATGGCCATAAAATGGCTTAGAATATTTGCACAGCAGCAACAAATAAATTCAATAAATTATGTAAGCTGTCTTCTTGACTCTAAGGAAGCGGACGGAGCGCGCGCCACTCACCCGCCTGGTATTATGCATGCACATGATCCATGACCCGAGAGGGTCCCAACTCTCCATACAAGAGTCCGTCCCCCTCGCTTGTTGAGACAGCCCATGAGAGGGGGAGAATCGTAAAAAAAATTAAATTAAAGTAAGCATTTCCTCACTTGAGGCGCAACTTTGTCGCAGTTTAAACGGGGATAATGCCCATAAAACACAGAAATCAATCAAACAAAATGTCCGCCTGACAACAGTTACCGCAAACACAGTGCCCACAAACACACATACAAACATACAGTGAAAGAAATTATTGAGATTAAGATTAAGATTAATTTTTAAATTTCTCTATATATAGGTTTCTTATCATCAGCTAATTTTGTTTCTTTGGGTGAGATATTCATCCCGTTTTTACAGCATCACATTGCTAATCTTAATTGGGCGATAATTAGTGAGAAATTTCTGGAGATTGCCATGAAAATAAAGTCATTAGACTTATAATAATTAAATGTTGTGATTCGAGATGCGGCAACTAACGCAGAGATAATCAGATGATGTGGGATGGTGTCAAGACTAAGGGTTAAGGTGGCCATTCTAAGTCACAATCACAATGATATATTTTTCAATTATTTTATATTTCGTAGAGCTGTTGAGATTTATAAAAAAGCATCGTTTAATTAATAAATTTGCATATTGATAATCAAGTCGAAATTACTTTCTTTGATTCCCTTTCAAAACGTTTTTCCAAGACATTTTTCCCTCAACACTCGTCGCCAGGAATTTGCATTTTTGATCGGCCTTTACCCTTGCCTTTGGTTGCGTTTCGCTTCAACTGTTTTCTGCCTTCGCCTTTCTCTTCTCCCCGACACCATGGCACCCATCCACCCACAGAAGGAGTGTGTAAACAAGACCGTTATACTTGCGCAGCCTCTTTTTAACAGTTTCGCAATTTGTGCACTGCCTGTGCAAAAAATGTATGAGGTCGGCTGACGCGAAGTGGAATGTGTCTACCGCTATCTTTGTGCAAGTAGACCAACCTTGTATTAATATACCTTGGAGTGAAGTGTGTCGCTGTAAACGTTACACGCCCGCGGCCAGGCAGGAACAGCAGTGAGGGGGAAGGGAATGTCAACAGAAGGCTGGCCCAACGCAACCCCATAACTCTCCCCTTAGCCCTACCGTCCTGTGCAGGCGGAAATATTCCGGAAATCGTTTATCATGTCGCCAATGGCTCTGTTTTAATAATTGCTGTCCGCGTTAAATGGCCAAAGGGAGGTCGATTGTGAAGAGAGAGAGGGAGAAAGGGAGAGAAAGAAGTGAGAAAAGGTAGCCTTAATTGTGAAACGGTAAGCAGTAAGCAGTCCATGGTGTGTGGAAAGCAGTGCAACTAAGATATTCCTTGCAGGGGCACGGCTCTTACAATCTATCACGAAATGAGGGCAGCAAGTAGAGGGCATAGATCTACTATCACGCTAATGCAAAAAGTTCCTCGTCACCTTATACAATTTGATTTTATACCCGATCCTCAATATGAGTATAGGGGTATATTAGATTTGTGGTAAAAGTGGATGTGTGT